GCTTTCCTTTTTTTCTCTCTCTCTAACACAAGTTCAGCCCTTCTTTTGGAAATCAGATCTTCCTGTTAAAGAAAGAGACATTTAAATTTTTAATGGGGAGTAACTAACACTTTCTACATATTGATATATTTTTCTCCAAAGTGGAAATAACATTTCGGAGGAAGGACGGCAAGCTTTACAGTAAATGACATGATGACTGTGATTATGTCACTTGCAGTCTGTTGATCAACTATTTTTCTCGAGTGCAGTGATTTTTCAACCAGTGTGCCGTGGCACATGGGGGTGCCGTGAGAGGACGGATCTTAGGTGTGCCACTAAAATTTTTAAAGCTCATTAATTAAAGTATTTTCAAAAGAAGTTCAAAGCATCAGAAGTCTATACTTTTTTAATGCATTTTTTGGATCAGCATAATTTGAGTGTGCCGCAGGAGTGTAACTATAGGTTCAAGTGTGCCAAGATCAAAAAGCACTGCTCTAGTGTGATAAGCAGCACTTGGCGTCAGTCACACTTTTCACAAACTTTTCAACTCCTTTTAAAAACACGTTAGTCATTTGTTTGTTTGTTTAGGAAATAGGGGAACACCTGGAGGTAATTTGTTGAAAATAGGTACTCTTTTATCATACTATTAAGTATGATTGCCTAGCAAACCTAAAAATACACGTGTCCATGTATGGAAAGCATGTGTGTTGGGATAGAGTCTCAGACATGGTGTGTAGACGAGGCCTCCAGGCTTCCCAGAGTCCTCTCTGGGTTAGAGTTTAGTGCAGGTGGATGTTTCTGAGGATCTGCTGATAACAGCCCAGATTCTTCCACTCCGGCCCTGTACGTGTGGGACACTGCAAGCGGGGTCAGGAACGCTCAGCAGTTTAGACGTAGGTCTATAGGTCACCTGGTGGAAAAGCAAAGCTTGAAACTGCTTAAGGGTTGAGATATAGATCAGCAGCATAGAATAGGGAAGTTAAAGTTTGCTCCCCCCCACATCCTTTTTACTTTTTAATCTTATGATAATCTCTTCTGTCTTTCTTTCCATCGTTTCCTCAATTCAGTGATGTTGCAAAACTTCTTTGTTTCTTTCTACCTAGAATTAACACTGCCTGTTCCATATGTCTTGCATATACTGATTTTTCTTGGTTCTTGAGGTTTTTGATCAGGGAAGCGCTTCCTCGCTACCTCTTAGCATGTGAAGCTGCTTGCCTCTACAAGCCTCATAGGTTATTTCTTTAAAAATAACTTAAGGTAAGAGTTTACTTTTCACTCTGTCCCCTTGCTGGTTCTTCCCTAGGAATAGAATGACAATAATCCCCTACACCTAATACAATGGGTGCTTTGTTGTTTTTCTAAGGTTGGCATGAAAACTAATCAGCTCCCCTTGGGGTTTGGGCCTTGTTGGCTCAGCACTCTGCAAACTGGAGTCCCTTTGAATATTGGAAGGAGAGAGGGGTGCCCGAGGACATGATCTGGGTCTCTGGTCTAGGCCAGCAGGACCTTGGTGCTTTCATTTGCTAACTGTTGAATACATATTTCCGAGGACTTACCCCTTGTAGGCTCTCAAGAAATATTTGTAGAGAGAATTACAAAACTGAATTGACTCAAAACCACTGAGTTTATAAGCCCCCAAAGAGATTCTATAATTCTCTTTAAAAGTGAGAATTTACAAAAACACCTAGTATTCCCTTTTTATTAAACATAGTTTTACGACTGGTTTTTAAAACATGAAGTGGGAAAAAAAGCCCCCTTGGGGTTTCATGATGCATAAAGCCCACTTTATATCCTCCAACAATGCGAAATACACACGGTAACACTCAGGCCTACGCTGAGTCTACTTTTCTTCTACTCCTTCCTAAAAGAAGTCGTCAGTGAGGTTTAATTAATCACTGAATATCTGCCAGATGCCAGCACCGCCTGAGCATTGTAGTATATATGGTTTCATTTTCTGTTCAAACATATCTGCAAAGCCAGGCAGACGTACCCTCTCTTTAGGTGAGTTAGTAGAAATCCAGAGGGTTTAACTCACATATGTCACATGGCTAGTGTAAGGACGGTTTTAGAAGCTCCCAGGTAAGGGATTGCAAAAGCATGTGGTGTGGTGGCTACTGCAGACAAGGATTTGCATTTGTTTCATCTGAAAAGAAAGTTAGAAACAGGGCTTGGAATACGATCATGAGTTCAGACTTCAATGGGGTCCCTTGGCTTGATCAAAATAGAGGTTTAGAAAAATTAGTCAGAGGTAGCTGGAAGGATGGCCTGGAGGGCACAGAGATGGAACCAGCAGGGATGATTAGGAGGTCACTAGGACTGCCGGTGTGAGCTGAGAAAGATCTGACCCAGGTAGAGTTAGTGGGTCTGAAAAGGAAGGAAAAAATGCATGAGCTTAAGAACTAGCTCCAGGAACCTGACGTTTTCCCATCGTGGGTCTCTAAAATTCTCTGAACATGTGATGTCTATGATGGGGCTTCCTTGCCCTACAGATGCGGTGTCCAGTTATGGCAGCCACTAGCCGCTGTGGCTATTTATATGAAAATTAATTAAAATGAAATAAAACGAAGCATTTCATTTCTCAGCCACACTAAACACATTTCCATAGCCACATGTGGTTAGTGGCTCCTGGACTGGACCGTGCCGATCTGGGACACTTCCAGCATCACAAGTTCTATGGCAGTGTGAGGTTACCCAGTCCAGGTCCACAGTGAGGCATGCCCTCTCTTTTGATTCTTTCTTTTCCATTCTTATGTTTACAGAATCTCTTACTTGGCAGACAGTTTGGTCTATTTTTTTCAGAAAAACAGGCAGCAGGAAAAGGAAGAATGTCATCAAAAATAGTACAAAGCCGGGTATCTTCCTATTGCCAGACTAAGGAGTCTGCTTGCCTGTCACCCAAGCCAATCAACAGAGAAGCAGATGAGAGATCAACAATTTCACTTTTATTTACGGAAAAGCCAGCAATTCTGAAGAACAGTGAGGCCCTCCCCAAAGGCCTGTTCTGCTGTCTTATTACTCCTTATTCTTACACCTTCACTGTATAAACATACATCCGCAGTGTTGTCAACTAGCCTGATAGACATCAAACAATTCCTCCCTTTATAAATTACAAGGTCAAAAAAATCTCTTGCTTTCAAGATGATTATTTCTTCAGTGTATTTTAGACTAAATTTACAGCCAGTTAGCACTTCACTGAGTGCACGGAGTGGCTTGGGTCCTTGACTGGTGCCATGGAGTCCAGTTCCCCAACTTATCTATGACAGGAGAACTTGGAAGTGAATAACCACTCTCCAGATGTTGGCAGGCAGGCTTGTCCGGCCTCTTAGGGCCTGACCAGCAATGTCCTGCACAGAATGGCCGTTCACATTAACAGTGGCTGGTCACATTCCCACATCTGTCTCCTTACGTTCATAGCTCCTGGATGGCTAAGAACTCTGCTTGCCTTGACTTCATGGAATAGGGATGGCCTGAGAAGTGCAACTGTAATGTGAGCAGGGGAGAGGGATGGATGGGCAGTGCCCTTGAAGGGATTAACTCTGGCTAATGCCGAGATGAAAAGAATTCCACAAGGGTCTGAGCAGTGAAAGAGAAACTGCTTGGTTTTAATATTTTGGCTGTTTATAATTTAAGAGTACTGAATTGTCAGGTTACTAAACAATTCAAGTCTTGGTATGTCAGCAGCAGAATTAACAGGTTGGCTGTCTGACTCTTAGGCTTGTTTCCATTTGACCCCTGCCAAATGCCTGTCCAGGGTATGCTTGTCTATTGATAAGGAGCTCCTGCTTCCAATCTTGGTTCATAACAAGGAAATGCATCTCCCTGTACCTTCTTCCTGCCAATGGCAGTTCTTTCTCTCGTGGCCATGCGGAATAACCACAAGTCCTCTTCAGTATGAAAGCCTTTCAAACATTCTAACACGCTCTCATGTCCCATCTTGGATTTTCCAGCTCCAGATTCGAGAGCCTCATTCTTTATGTGGCAGCACAGACCCATAGATTTGCCTTTTTAGAGCATGTCATGTCATGGAATTGTACAGTCTGAGCCCCTTTTTTGCCTGGCTTCTGTCACTCAGCCTAATGATTTTGATTTTTTCCCCCTTTGGTAGGGTGTGTCAATAGGTCCTT